TCCCGCCCCCCCCAGCCCTGGGAACTCATCACGACCTGAAAAAAATACCCCCTAAGCATCAGTCCACAGACCTGTGGGGCTGGCACTGAGTAGCGTACTCGGAGCATTTCAGAAACGTGTAGGTTTTACCTGAAGGAGTGGCCAGAGCTGAACTGAAGGATCTGGAAGGAGGACCAAGAGCCCTGCTTTGCTCTCTGGTGGGAGGATGCGGTTTAAACACCACCACCAACCGTAAATGGTGAACAGGAATCTTGTCCTGCACTGCCTTGCCTGTTTCGTTTAATCCTCCCAACAATCACGATGTAGGGGGCTGTTATTATTACACCCAATTGACAGATGAGGAAGTTAAGGCACAGAGGAGCCAAGTACTGTCCAGGGTCACACAGCCAGAGAGTTGTCAGGCTGGATTGCAAACCCAGCACAAGACTTCAGCACTGGGATCTACAGAAGCCAACACTCCCCAAATAATTTACATAGTGTAATTCCATTTTAGAAAACTTCAAACGCACGATTCTAAAGTCTGCCTGCAAGAAACGAAGAATGATTTTAAAGAGAAGCGGGAGATCAGGTTAGAATGGCACCTTGCATAACAATATTAAAGCATATGAAGTGACAACAGGGGAATCACTTTGGGACTGGCACAAGGCTAAATGGGCAGGAAGCAGCAGAATGCGGATTTGAATCCAGGTGCCTGACCTCATGGCCTCTCCCCTCATGGCCTGTCCCCTCCCTTTTCTGGTCTGTCCCTGCTGTTTCTCCGTTCAGGTACCCAGAGTCTGCACATCTCAGCTTTCTTCCAAAGCCTCAGTCTATGCTCCTCCTCCCATCTCACTCAAAAACTGGTCCTCTGCCCCATCTGCTCAAGGGCTCAGCATTTACTCTGCTTCTGAGTACATTTCAGCAACAATTCATCTTAAGAGCCCTGAAGTCTGCACCTTAATGCAAAGGAAACAGATATAGTCAGAGTGTGAATTTCAGAAGTCATGATTACCTAGAGGGAGGGATGACAGAACGCTGGTATGTACACCCAGTTTATATTTTAAGTAGTGAGCATGGCAGCACTAGGGGTATTCAAATTTGGGCAGGAGGCTATTTTGCAGGCTGGGTGTTATGGAAGCTATTTAAACCAGGGGGTTCAACCATGATTTTCATGCTTGCCCATTAATTATGGTCATCTTCCTGGTTCACAGGGTCACTTTAGAAACCTTGCACCCAAGATAGTGGATTGGACATACACTCACGGTCCTATTAAAATAGCAGCAAAGGTCAGGTGTGGTGACTCACACCTGTAATCCCTGCACTTAAGGAGGTCAAGATGAGAGGATTGCTTGAGCCCAGGCATTTGAGACCAGCCTGGGCAACACAGTGAGACTTTGTCTCTACAATCAATCAATCAATCAATCAATCAATAGCGGAGTGTTGGTGGCATGTGCCTGTAGTCCCAGCTACTTGGGAGGCTGAGGCAGGAGGGTCGTCTGATCCCAGGAAGTTAAGGCTGTGATGAGCAGTGGTCATGCCACTGCACTCCAGCCTTGATGACCGATTGAGAGTCCGACTCTAAATATATACATACATACATACATTAAAAAAATAGCAGCAAAGCTATGTTAAAAGCATCATGCAAACCAACAGTGTTGGAAATTGAGAAAGCAAGCCATCAAGCGACCAGGACATTTGAGGAATTTTTACAAGATAGAAAGCCCAAGAGTCAGATGGAGTCAGGATGGCGGGTTGAACATAAGCACAAACCTTCAATGTCTATCTCAGACCTCCAGAAATGACAGGAAAGAGATTTAAAAGAAATTTAAAAACCTTAATAATGCTGCTGGGTCCTAAATAGAGATGCCCTAGATAAACTGGAAACTATGAGGTCCCTTAAAGAGATATGGAAGAGGACGAAGCAGGACATTACAGCCCAGATCACATAAGGGAGCGGGTATCTGTACAGAGTGGAAGGGGCTCCGAGGAGCTCCAGGATCCAGACAGTGGGCTACAGAGGGAGAAGAGACCATGAGTCAACTGGCATGGTTGGCATTTGCACTGGCATCATCATGGCATAAGGACATCCTATCTCCTTCACCAAAACTCCTGTGTTGAGTAAACTGGCAGCAGAGGTGCTTGTACCAGGAGGGAGCAGTGAGGATAGGGCAGAGAAACAGGGAAACATCCAGAATGTCTGGCCAATTAGGAAGGAACAGGAAGCCCCGTGTGCAGAAGACTAGTTCCTAACACCCATACTTCCTCACCCTTGGCTTCAGTTGCAGTAAGTAGATACAGAGTTCACAGGGAGGCTATCAGAATATTCCCAATTAAAAAAAAAAAGCACACATCCAAGGGTGCCACACTGTTTTAAGAGACTGAACACTATGAGCATAAGAACTCACAAGTGAGGATGTTGAAACAATAAAGGAGAAGGAGACTGCTATAATCTGAATGTGTCTCCTCAAAATTCATGTGTTGAAAATATCATCCATAATGCAACAGTGTTGGGAGGTGAGGCCTAATAGGAAATAGTTGGGTCATGAGGGCTCTGCTTTCATGAATGGACTAATGTTTCTATAAAAAGAGCTTGTGGGGTTAGGTTCATTCTCTTCTACTCTCCTGCCGTATGAAGATGTCTTCCTCCGTCCCAGAAGATATAGTGTTCATGGCACCATTGTGGAAGCAGAGAGACTAAGCTCTAACCTGCTGGAGACTTGATCTTAGACTTCTCAGCCTCCAGAACTTTGAGAAATAAATTTCTGTTCTTTACAACATATCCAGTCTGTGGTGTTCTGTTATAGCAGCACAAACTGAACTAAGACAGGTCCTAGAAATATGTAAGCAACATTCTCAGAAGGAGTAGATGGGATACTACATTCATTATGGTTATTGTGTCAATAATTATTTGTCATATCCATGAAACAAGAATAGTTATTAAAATCAACAATGACCATAACCTTGGAAGTGCAAAATATAATGCTAAATTAAAACAGAAACAGATCAAAACAATAGCAAGAGCACACCTTCTCCATAGACAGGTTGAACCAACATAATTGAAGAGAAAAATTGGTAAACCAAAGATGGAAATTACAGCAGAATATGGAGAAGAAAGGCATGAAAAACAATATCTGAGATGTTGAAGACAGATTCTTATTTCTATAAAGACTTATTGAGTACTATCTATGTGGCAGGCACTTGTCTAGCACAGAACATATGTGGCGAATAATTTGAAAGGTCTCTGCTCTCATGGGATTTATATTCTACCCAGGGAAAGATGGACGAAAAATAAACATGTAAATAAATGAGAAAATGTTGAATCTTTGGCTAGGGAAACCTTAAGCAGAAAGGTTTTTTTTTAAGGGGGTGCTTTCAATTAGAGAGCAGACAAAGGGGACCCCAAAACCCCAGAATTTATTTATTAAAAATTGTGTATTTATTCTTACATGTTTAAACTTCAGTCACCTTCAAAGTATTCCCCACTTGATGCAATACAATAAAACACTTTTTTCACCGCTTAAAACAGTTTTTGAATTTGTCAATTTTGATGGCTTTTAGTGCTTCTGTCATTTTTTGTTTCACTTCTTCCACATTAACAAAATGTTTCCCTTTGATGACTTTTTTCATCTGGGGAAACAAAAAAAGTCAGGAGAGTAGGAAGAGTGGGGCACAGGGGTCGTGACATTTTTGGTCAAAAACTACTGAACACTCAGTGTGGTGTAGGCAGGTGCATTGTCATGGTAGAAGAACCAATCACCTGTTTGCCAAAACTTGGGACTTTTTTCTGCAAATTGTGATGTAACCTTCTCAAAACTCCCAGGTAAAAACTTTAGTTGATTGTTTGATCTGGAGGAAAAATTTACAGCATACTGCAAGGGCTCTGCCCTCCAAAAGGTTATTTGGTTTTTTGAAGGGTCCCCCTCGCATCTGTTGCACATTTTGTTACTCGATGCCAAACATACTCTTAGTTGACACAGTAGCAAATAATCTGCTCTCCTTTTTGAAAGTCTGTGGGTGATTTAGAAAATGACAGTATCTACCCAGAAACTGTATTTCTTTTTTCCTGTCTGCTTAGCCAACTCACCACCTTGTATTGGTCTAGGGAGAAATTACTGCTTTTTTTTTTTTTAAGGCAGTTCTGATGCATCAAAGAGTAATGTGAATTCAAGGATAAGGAAATTGTAGATGTGCAATCAAGCAAATAAAATGCTAATTGTAGAATCTATGTGGTGAGTATGTGGGCATTTACTATAAAATTCTTTCATCTTTTCTGTATACCTGAAAAACACTAAGACCTACAATTGCACCCTTATTTATTTATTTACTTGTTTATTTTTAAGACAAAGTTTCGCTCTGTCGCCCAGGCTAAAGAGCAGTGGTGTGATCATAGTTCAATGCAGCCTTACACTCCGGGGCTAAGCAATCCTTCTGCCTCAGCTTCATAAGTGACTGGGGCTACAGGTGCATACCACCATGCCAAGCTAATTTTTTTTTTTTTGTAGAGACAGAGTCTTGCCATGATGCCCAAGCTAATCTCAAAGTCCTGGGCCCAAGTGCACCTCAGCCTCCCATGCACCCCCATTTGACAGAGGAGAGCCTACTTTACCAAGGGGTTAGGTAAGTGACTTTTTCAGGGTTATGACATCAAGTACAATTGAGAAGCTGGATTGGCGCCTCAGCAGCCTAACTCTAGTACCTAGGATTTGATCCAACTGAAGGACAGTTTGAGAGGGACATTACTGACCTGTGACTGGCCGGTGGAGGGGCCCTAGCACCTCATAGACAGGAATGAGGTGTGTACAGGGAGAGGATCCATGTAA